CCAAGACATGTATCAGAAAATTAAGTACAATTTCATTTGAATGATGTTGAAAAGCAGTCTTCAAACCTCCAAAGAATACATTTTGAGTCCATCAAATACTTGAATCCTTTATCCACCACATTTTGTTGTAAATTTAAAAATAGTTTTTCCTTTATGTGAAACTTTGAAACTAATCAGAGGAATTAAATCAAATTCTCTGCAGCGGAAACATTGAGTATTTCACTCAGTTGAATATTGTTCATAGTCTTTCATCTTTCAATAATATTAGAAATGACGTATCGATGATAAATTGTCTTCCAGAATATTTCGTATGTATCTAGAGAGTACCAATCTTTGCAAACTAAGTGACAAGATAGAGCATCACGATATGGTAAATATTCCGTAATTAAAAATAAAGTATCTGTTGAGAGAGAAGGTGGTGGATTCATTTTTTTCTTTGGTTGACCTTGAAATACACTAATGCTCTTGTTTGAAAAATTGGGAAACTAATCAGATTCAAATAATAAAGTGGCACTTCTAAAAGAGATGGTAAATCGTATACACGCATATTAATTAACATCATCTTTTATTTGCTGATGTATTTTTTCTCTAAAGAGATGTGTTTTGCAAAACTGTACTATGTTGAAGTGCTTCAGATAATAAGGTATGACAATGAATTCCTGTACAAATACGGAAATACAGAAAATAAATATATTTTCAATTAAATTGTTGTTGTATTCTTTGTACCGTTCGATGATCAATCAGTTATACATCGTAACAACTATTTTCTGTTGAATTATACTTTCGCTATCACATATATTGAGATGTATTACTATAACACTATGAGGTAGTACTTTATAATATAGGATTCTATGATTCTATGATATTAGCAACTACTGTACCTAGCTATTTGCTCAATGTTAGTGTTCATCTACATTTATTGCGTTGTGGTTATATAACACAGTTGGAGAACTAAAATAATGTAACCGTCTTAGTCTAAGTATATTTGTTAATAACCCATATACAATAATCAGCAAATGTTAATAGTTGTTATAACAACAATGCTTCCTTCCTTCATACAACTTAATTAAGAAGGTTAGTAATATCTGTTACGGTCAATGATAATTCAGTTAGTGAGCAAACTTAAAGGCATAAATTGTTACAAATTTAAACATAGTAATACATCAGTTAATTCAAAAATTAAATATTCTTAATGGAATCCAGGATAGATTTATTTGCAGGTAATACTTCATTGTAATTGTACAAATATTATCGAAGCACATTTATAATTAAATTTAACATAATTGTTTTATAAAAATAATTATTATTAGTTTAAAAGATAACAAAAAATTATAAATAGTACTTTAAAGAATAATGATAAAAGTTCATTCCTACAATCATCCAAATATGTATTTGAAACAATGTGAATCTCATTATTGATCTCCTCAATTTTGTAATAGTTTAGGAGATTTTGAGCTTGATCATCTCTATTGGTCATGTAAACATTGGATTTACACCATCCAGATTTCCCATAATAATGTTAAT